CTTACGATCCTCATCATCAACGCCAGCATAACCAACATACAATATGGCCACCATAAACAACAGCCACCGTTATCTACTACCACCACAACAAATACCTTCACCGAACATAAACAACAACAGCTATCACCATCTTCACCAAACATAACCACACCTACGACCACCTTCACCAAACATAAACAATTACAACTACTACCACCACCTTCACCAAACATAAACAAGGACAACAACCACAACCTCCACCAAACATAAAACAACTAGAACTACCACCACCTTCACCATAAATAAACAACGTCAACCGCCACCTTCACCAAATATAAAAAACGAACACTACCACCACCTTCACCAAACTTAAACAACCACAACTACCACTACCTTCACCAAACATAAAAAAATAACATCTACCACCACCTTCACCAAACATAAACAACCACAACTACCACTACCTTCACCAAACATAAAAAATAACAACTACCACCACCTTAACCAAATATAAACAACTAGAACTACCACTACCTTCACCAAAAATAAACAACGTCAATCGCCACCATCATTGAACATAAAAACACAACTACCATCACCTTCACCAAACATAAATAACAACTACCACCACCTTCTCCAAACAAAAAACGACAATTACCACCACCCTCACCAAACATAAACAACCCAAACTACCACCACCTTCACCAAACCTAAACAACCACAACTACCACTACTTTCGCGAAATATAAACAGCCAGAACAACCACCACCTTCACCAAACCTAAACAACCACAACTACCACTACTTTCACGAAATATAAACAGCCAGAACAACCACCACCTTCACCAAACCTAAACAACCACAACTACCACTACTTTCACTAAATATAAACAACCAGAACAACCACCACCTTCACCAGTCATAAACAACAACAACTACCGCCACTTTCACAAAAAATAAACAACGACAAGAACAGCCACCTTCACCAAACATAAACAACAACAACTACCAATACCTTAACCAAACATAAACAACAACTACCACCACCTTCACCAAACATAAACAACAACAACAACCACTACCTTCACCAAACATAAACAACAACTACCACCCTTTCACAAAACATAAACAACGACAACTTCCACCACTTTCACCAAATATAAACAACAACAACTACCACCACTTCCATCAAACATAGACAACAACAACTACCACCACCTTCACCAAACATCAACAACAAGAACTATCGCCACCTTCACAAAACATAAACAACAACAACTTCGACCACCTTCTCCAAACAAAAAACGACAATTACCACCACCCTCGCCAAACATAAACAACCCAAACTACCACCACCTTCACCAAACCTAAACAACCACAACTACCACTACTTTCGCGAAATATAAACAGCCAGAACAACCACCACCTTCACCAAACCTAAACAACCACAACTACCACTACTTTCACGAAATATAAACAGCCAGAACAACCACCACCTTCACCAAACCTAAACAACCACAACTACCACTACTTTCACTAAATATAAACAACCAGAACAACCACCACCTTCACCAGTCATAAACAACAACAACTACCGCCACTTTCACAAAAAATAAACAACGACAAGAACAGCCACCTTCACCAAACATAAACAACAACAACTACCAATACCTTAACCAAACATAAACAACAACTACCACCACCTTCACCAAACATAAACAACAACAACAACCACTACCTTCACCAAACATAAACAACAACTACCACCACCTTCACAAAACATAAACAACGACAACTTCCACCACTTTCACCAAATATAAACAACAACAACTACCACCACTTCCATCAAACATAGACAACAAAAACTACCACCACCTTCACCAAACATCAACAACAAGAACTATCGCCACCTTCACAAAACATAAACAACAACAACTTCGACCACCTTCACCAAACTTAAACAACAACAACTTCCACTACTTTCACAAAACATAAACAACAACAACTACCACCACCCTCACCAAACATAAACAACAACAACTACCACCACCTTCACCAAACATAAATATCAACAACTACCACTACCTTCACCAAACATAAACAACAACAACTACCACCACTTTCACCAAACAATAACAGCCAGAACAACCACCACCTTCACCAAACATAAACAACGACAACTTCCACCTCTTTTACCAAACATAAACAACGACAACTTTCACCACTTTCACCAAACCTAAACAACCACAACTACCACTACTTTCACCAAATATAAACAGCCAGAACAACCACCACCTTCACCAAACAAAAACAACAACAACTACCACCACTTTCACCAAACATAAACAACGACGACTTCCACCACTTTCACCAAACATAAACAACAACAACTACCACCACTTTCACCAAACATAGACAGCAACAACAACTACCACCACCTTTACCAAACTTCAACAAGAACAACTACCGCCATCTTCACAAAACATAAACAACAACAACTTCGACCACTTTCACCAAACATAAACAACAACAACTTCCACTACTTCACAAAACATAAACAACAACAACTACCACCACCTTCTCCAAACATAAATAACAACTACCACCACCCTCACCAAACATAAACAACAACAACTACCACCACATTCACCAAACATAAATATCAACAACTACCACCACCTTCACCAAACATAAACAACAACAACTACCACCACCTTCACCAAACATAAACAACAACAACTACCACCACCTTCACCAAACATAAACAACAACAACTACCACCACCTTCACCAAACATAAACAACAACAACTACCACCACCTTCACCAAACATAAACAACGACAACTACCACCACTTTCACCAAACATTAACAGCCAGAACAACCACCACCTTCACTAAACATAAGCAACAACAACTTCAACCACTTTCACCAAACATAAACAACAACAACTACCACCAGTTTCACCAAACATAAATAAAAACAACTACCACCACCCTCCCCAAACATAAACAACAGCAACTACTAACCCCCTTACCAAACATTAACAACCACAACAACCACTACCTTCACCAAACATAAACAACAACTACCACCACCTTCACCAAACATAAAAGACCACAACTATCACCACTTTCACCAAATATGAACAGCCAGAACAACCACCACCTTCACCAAATATAACCAACGACAACTACCACCACCTTCACCAAACATAAACAACAACAACTACCACCACCTTCACCAAACATAAACAACAACAACTACCACCGCCATAACCAACCACCCACCCACACATCCCCATTATTATCACCTTATACCAATACCACTATCAGCACCCATCACTAAACACCCCCGTTTCATATAGCACTGTGTCCTAAAATTGTTCCCCAACTAAAGATGAATGTAGAATATTTAAATAGTCATTAAATCCGTGGCAAATACTTCTTTATTTAACCTACTATTACATATATATTTCACTAGAAAATAATGTTATTTCAGGGGATTATTTTTTGACAATCCTGATACGACATGCTATTATTTAAATAAAGATATATATTATACATGTACAATATTTATTTTAAGGATTTAAGAAACTGAATGTTCACGTAACTTTTGTTTGCATTTGACTGGTTAAAAGCAAATGTACACTCTTTTCATACAGTGAGCGAATTTTTGAATACAAAAATAGCGCTTTGATATTTAAATCAATCTGTAAATGTTATTTAGTCTTTTGAACAAACTTGAATGTTTTTATATTGTAAACATGTGTATTTTCTTTAATGTACATTTTCTTATCTTTAACCCCCTAAATAGTGCTACTATATAGTGCTCAAATATTGGAAGAATATAAAAAGCATCACGTTAAGGGCGCTGAATTAAAAGTAATTTGTAATTAAAGTAGCAAATTGCAAACAAAGTAGTACATATAATTATAAAGTTCCTTAATCACTTTTATTTACTCTATAAATTGTCAAATAGGAAATGATGCAAAACATAATAAGGAGATATGGCCAATGAAAATCATTGTGATAGCTGTATCAATACACTTGAAATAAAAAGTAATTAAAATAGATTTAAAGTTAATTTAACACATTAAATTGTGTAGACTCATCATTTAAAATGGGACGGGCATTATGTCTCGTAAATTACGATATCAACATTTTTCTTATATACAAGTATTATATTTTAAAATTTTGTGTTATCGGAATTTCTTTTTGAAATATTCGATTCTGTGCTAAGGGGGCACGCTTGATGTAGTTAGTTTCCTGTTGTCTCATTTTTTGTCGAACATTTTCATTTTGATTTAGTTATCCTTTATATAGTAATCACTCTTTTGAACATATCTTCATTTCAGAAGCACCAAAAAGTTTGGCAGGTGAAAAAGTAAGTTGTCCCTCTCTTTATGTCGCGGTTGGTTGCCCTCTATTTTTTCGGGATCATTGATTCCGATAAGTTTAATTCAGCTAATTGAATAAAGCTAAAGCCGGTGCTAGCGTGCCTACTTGTTTGTTATTGGTGAACAACCTTCATGGAACCGTTTTCCTTGGGTTTCACTAGTTAATTTTGCTTTGATTTCTGTGGTGGACTCCAACTTTTATACCGGGAGCAAACAGAATCTTAACCGTTTTCTTTTTGATGTTTTAGACCTGATTTCAGGGGTAAATATATTCTAATCTCGGACATTTGGGCGGAATCCGGAATAAAGGGGCCCCGGAATAAAGGGCTATATCATGTTATTATATAACGAAATAAATGGGAGACTTTCCACAGATTTAGAGGTTTGGCCCGAGGTTAAAAATTGAGCAGGGTTAGAGGGCATTTTCAATGGTTTCCACTGTAAACACTCCTAGTTTTAATTTAATACGAACAGTAAAAATACTGCATTTAAATGTTAAGTTGAACTAAATGTTAAACTTATATCCAGTCATGTTTTATCAATTATTTTCATCAATATTTTTTTACTGTGTTACACGAGCCTCTAGTTAATGACTCTAAAGTAGACCGAAATTGTAAAGCAAATATCATTCCATTGTGAACACTTCTATTTCAAACATCATGGTACATTTACGTCGTCTGTATTTTCACCTCATTTGATCATAAATACCTGATTATTAAAGGACACTTGGGAGAATCTATGAAGGAGTTAAATCCCATTTAACATCTTTTTATTTTTTTATGTTAATAATAATTAAGGTAAGTGATAATTTAACTACGAGATTTATCCAAGATTTGTTTACACATTCTTGATATCTTTAAGAAATCATTTTGCGTAGATTAAATATGAACATAGCACTTTATGAATTTCATGAACAGATAAAAATTAGAATAAACCTAACCAGTGTATGAATTACGTTCATAATACAACTTAGATAACAAGTTGAATATTTCGAAATTAAGACGAATATTGAAAACACATCTTTTTCTCGAAATTACAAAAAATCAAATCGTTATATAATAAATTAGTTCATACTGATTATGACAGTTCTAACAAAAATCTGACATCAAGTAAAATATTACAAATTAACAAAGACCTGATAAGCCCATTGATGTCAGTTTTTATCAGAAGGCTTGTTTTTTCTCATTGATTTCCTGTAAAATAAACCAAAAAAATAACTGTAAAAGTGGCACTTTGAATGTGCATTTTGAAAGTTTTAAACTGAAATCTAGAAATGTCATTGGTCATTACAAGATAGACTAGGAATTTCATGACGCAACCATTCTAGAACGATCATACTATAGGGTTTGTTGCATAATTTTAAGGAGGACATGCAAATGTATATATGCAAAATTATTATTGGACTTGTTTGCCTGGATAACAGCCCGTTCATACTTAGAAATAAAGCAAAACAATTAAAAAAGGTTAACCACGACTGAGTTTCTGTTTATATTTACTTTTTACTCATTTTTTTTCAAATTTTTTACATTTTGATAAGGAAATAAAATACAAGTGTATTACCAGCACAAGCAGTTTTGAATTAATTTTGAAATTTAGCTTCATCGTACAAACATTTACCTTATATATCGCTAAAACAGCTTGTGTATTCATACAAACGGACAATGTTTCTTTCAAATATCAACAAGATATAACTGTGTATTTTTTTTCCTGAAATCAATTGCGTTTAAAATCGATAAATGCACAGTATAGTAAAGTAGATCAAAATGCAGTTAATTTATGCAGTTTTACATATCATAACATAATTACGTTTTAATCGCACGTGAAACTCGTGCTGCCAATTTATCAAAATATTACAAATAATTTATAGTTTCTATGTAGAGTTCAAAGTACGTGGTACACGATTTATGAACTCTTCGATTTCGGCGTGCGGAAATTTAATCGATTGAATTTTGTGTAGGACTTCTGTTTGAAAATTTTACATAATTAGAAATTACAGCTGCATTTTGAAGGCTTTTAAGTTAAAAGTCATTTTAAATTGCACAATTACCAGATAATTTGTCTCAAAAAGTTATATTTGGAAACACGCAGTATAATTACATAATATCTCTTATATTGGTATCTATCTTTTCTGATTTTCTATAGCTCGACTCGCTTTATTAACTTTTTGTACTAAGTAGATAAAATTCATAAATAATTTCATGTTCTAGTACAGTTTATGATACGCTGACTACATTAATGACATAAGATACTATTATTTAAGTTATACATAAATAAATCGGTATCTAAATGGTATATAGATCAACAAATATTGAAATGATATATAGACCAATCGGCATTTTAATGATATAAATAAAAACAAACATTGAAATGATATTAACATGTAGAGCACACGGTATTCAACCGGTATTAAAATGCTACATAGGTCAACCAGTGTTGAAATGCTACATATGTCAACCAGTATTGAAATGTTACATAGGTCAACCGGTATTGAAATGTTACATAGGTCAACCAGTATTGAAAAGCTACATAAGTCAACCAGTATTGAAATGCTACATAGGTCAACCAGTATTGAAATGCTACATAAGTCAACCGGTATTGAAAAGCTACATAGGTCAACCGGTATTGAAATGTTACATAGGTCAACCAGTATTGAAATGCTACATAAGTCAACCGGTATTAAAATGCTACATAGGTCAACCAGTATTGAAATGCTACATAGGTCAACCAGTATTGAAAAGCTACATAGGTCAACCAGTATTGAAATGCTACATAGGTCAACCAGTATTAAAATGCTACATAGGTCAACCAGTATTGAAATGCTACATAGGCCAAACAGTTTTGAAATGATATATCGATAAACCTGTATTAGAATGGTTGGTAAATAGGTAAACCAGTATTGAAATGCTATACAGGTCAACCAGAATTGAAAAGATATATAATTCTACCGGTATTGAAATATTACATAGATTAACCAGTATTGAAATGATATACACCATAGTGTAACAGTAAATAGGTCAACCAGTATTGAAATGATATAAGGACAACCAGAATCGAAAATCTATATAGTTCAACCGATATTGAAAGTTTTGATAGACCAGTATTGAAATGATAAATAGATTAACAGGTTGTATAAAAAACAATTAATAGATCAATAGTTTATAGTGCTTGTTAAATTTGGATTTTTACTCTCATTTGATTGTTATTTATAGAGGACATGTATATTGCAATATGGATAACCGTTTAGATGCATTTAATGACTGTCATCAATGCACTGATTTCAAGTTTCAATTTCTATTATACTCGTACTATTTAATACGAACTTATTAAAACAGTATAGTACGACTTTTCAGTTGCATTGTTTGAAATATCATTATACTTTCTCTTAAATACCAACAAACTATCTTTAATTTATGCTATTTTGGCTCATCGATAGGTGTTTTTTTTGTATTGAAATTCGTTGATCCATTACAAAATCAAAGAGAAACGCCATTGTAGTATTATGTTGATTTTAACAACTGAATGATATCTCTTAAAATACTAAAGGACGAAAGGGTAACAACTATAAATTGTAATCGTATATTCTTATATACCGAATAACAAATTCAGCATATCTAAGAAATAATTATTATTAAAATATAATGTAACAAACTCATCTCATTTCTATATAAGTAAAATGTTTTCTGAATAATTAATTTCTAAAGTAAACACAACAGCAACAAGAGTCGGTCAATATTTGTTTTTTAAAGTTGGCAACCTTTCATGATGTTTCTAGTAGTCGATATTTAAGAAAACAACGGCTGTATTGCTAAATTCCAGTGTATAACTAATTCGTCTGGTTTGCTGTTATTATAGGTGTATATTGAGACGATATTACACAGTGTCTAAACATAGAATATATTGTCAAATGATTTTGGAAGAATGGATTATTAAATAGATTTAACAATTATTAAAAGGCAAGTGCATTTGCTTTTCAATGTTGTATACGTTTCGCGATAATTTACTTACAGGAACATGTCATAACACTTTAGCCATATAGCCACGCTAAATATCGTAAATAGAATTGTCTATCTTTCAGTCTGGACATAGGCATGTATAATTTCAAATATGAACTAACTGAAAATCAAGCCTTGCAGACCATCAAACAGTACGCCTAAGTCTGCATCGGTCACACAGAAGGATGCCGCCTAAGGGTTAAATCATCTGACATTTGTTTTAGATGAAACACAAACAGGAACACAAAACCGTGTTATATGTTTGTTGTTGTTGTTTTTTTGTTTTTGTTTTTTCTGATCGCAGATCAGATAATACATAGCTAACATCCACGGTCTAACACAAAATTTCCTAACAGTCCTAACAACGCAAATTAGTTCTCACTCAAAACTGCTTAAAAACCAGCAATTTAAAAGAAAGAACAATTTTTTGTTACAAGTGTTCAAGAAATTACTACACCTTCAAACTTTTAAAGTAGCGTTGGCTTATAGAGTTGTCAATAAACGCACACTCACAAATTACGCGGATGAATATGATTTTAATCAATGAAAATGCTATTTTTAGCGATGTCGATTACCGAATACTACACAAATAAATCTGACTGTCGAGTAGTTGAATATATAGTTTCTACATGTTGGACTGTTTTGGCGAGAAGATTTTTGCTAAATTATTTACTTCAATTCTAAACAACAGGTTTACCCCGAACAAAATACCTCGAAATTACCCTAACCCGAAATGCAATGGAAATTCTAAATTTAGAATCACTTGATTTTATTCAGCATTGGATTTTAAATCTTCTCTGTGGTGCAGGGGTAACGCGCTCGTTTCGTGTGTGAGAGGTCTGGAGTTCAAATCCCAGTCGAGTCAACATTTTTTTAATTCTTTTTTTTAGTGTCTTTGTTAAGGAAATAGCCACGATATGCAAGGATAAAGTGTGGCTACCATAAAAAATTAACATAATTTTTTTTTGATGCAACTCTAGTTATGCAAAATTCCGTATGTATCAAACTCTGGTGCCCTGCAAGATGACTTATAGTACATAAAAATAAACTTATACAGGAAAACACATACAGATATACAGTACGATTTAGATTTCAGGGATCAGAAAATACCACTGAGCTTGCAGCCCTTTGATTGTTTGTTTGTTGTTGTTTTACTGCTTCTGTTGCACAAAAACATGTTCTAACATTAAAGATACACTATGCTCAACTTTTTGTCAAAAGTTTATAGATCTAAAGAAGTTCTGCAATAAAAATATTTTAATCGAAGATGTGCATGTATATTTTTAATAGAATAAGAAAATAATTGTATTTCCTTCAGTAAATTGGAAAAGAAGCAAGCGACGCGAAACAATACATATTCTACTTCCGGTTCCTTGTGTGAGGCACTATGGGATTACTGACGTTTGCAGGAAGGATAGTTCTTGTTGTTATAAATATAGTCTTCATTGTAAGTACTATATATTTTGTATGGAAAGCGGTATGGTATGGAAAGCGGTATTGGACCCTTCCGCCGTTACTATATAATCCAATGTAATTGTCTTATGACGGAAATCCGCCGTTAGAAATACCCGTTCCGCCATAAGCTATCTATTTCGCATAATTGTGTTTGTTCATTAAACATGGCATATTTATACTTGTAAAAATCCTTTCTTAATTATGTGCATATATATATATACTTATCGTTTAATAATTCACTCAGTTGTTCTGTTTGTCTAAAAAGAAAATAGAGAAAAAATTTTTTTTTTACATTTATAGGTATCTTAAATTTTCACAGTATGTAGAAATAAAAGAACTATTGATTGTATTTTCCAATAATATGTTCCGATGGTAAAAAAACTAATGCTAGAAATATATCAAAAATGAAATTTCAACCAATCGACACTTCTATTTCTAATATATCTTACATCAACACATTTTATTGACCGACAGGTATTTCCATCACTTTACAGCATTTGAGCATTGGATACAATGACCAAAAACCCTTTTCTAATTAATCAACATGTGTCTGGTAAAGTTAAGGATGTGATGTTTATATGTAGCATGGTCTTTCGAATAACTTTTGAAACATTTTGTATGTAACAATTGTCTGTTGCATTACCGAGTAGTGAATAGTTTTCATACACACTTATAGGTTAATCGATACAGAAAGCAAACACTTTGATAATGTCTTAGATTGTCTTTGTATGCAAAACTAAAGCGTTTCTGATGAATGGAAAAATGACTTATAAACTAGTATTTATTTTTACTTTATTACAGCTTTTATCACTGGCGCTGATCGTTGCAGGTTTTGTGATACGTTTTGCTCATGATTGGCTTCGACCTAAAGTCACAGCTATTCTAGCTGATATAGAAGCTACTGTCAACAATGCATATGGTAAGGTACTTTTGAGAAATGTTTAAGGCCTTTATGCCCATGTTTTGTTACAGTTCCAAAAAGTGACTCTTTGGTTATCTAGCTGAGCCACTTTGTTTATATTTTGGTACATTGAGTACAAATTATTTCACTATCAGCGTCATTTATTTTCAGGATATAGAAATATCAAATGTTCTATAAGATTATTAATTCTATTTAATGGTGCTAAGTTTGATGTAGTATTTAAACCAATTTCAGATTGACTTTTGAAAGGTAGCCGATATTCGATGCATTCTTAAATATAATAATGGTGAATTGATATTTACGTAAAATTGACTCCTTCACAATAAAACATAATTAATGGAAATTATGTAAGATTGAACCGGAAATAGAATTTGGCAAATACAGTATTTGATTTAATAATGTTTGCCGTGATCAAATATTTGACACGACTGGAGGTACACACATATTGTCATGAAATTGAACCCGAGCAAGTAACGAACACATAGATACGAAAGAACAGTGGTGACATTTCAATTTCTTAAATTCTCCGGACTTTATTTTCATGAATTTACAAAATAATGAAACTTCATGAATTCACGATTCTAAAATACAGAATTTACTAATTCACAAAGTTGAAATCGTGAAATTCGTGAAGTTGAAATCGTGAAATTGGACAACTGGAATTTGTGAATTCCGTATGTTGAAAACACGAATTTGTGAATTCGTGAAGATTAACATATGAAATGTCCCCACCTGTCTGTCATACATAAATATAAAAATATGTAAAATAATTATGTCGTACTAAATTGGATAGCCTCACTTCTTGAATTATAGTTTCCTACAGTCACATATACAGAATTTGTCTCTCAAATAACCTTGTAATGATACAATCATGTATGTTTGATACGAATAGAGACAATAAGATAAAATTATTTATATTCGCGAACCTATTTCTTCGCGAATTTATGGTTATCGTGAATAAATTTGTAGCCCGAAACTTCGAACGTCATATTTGATTTAGAAATACTTTAGATTTTGATTATAATGATGATGCAATTTCATCCTAATAAAGAAAAAACAACAACATTTTTTGGGGGGAATACCCTGAATTTTGACGCCGAGAATTTAAATCGTTTTACAGTACTACAATACCTTAATACCCCATCATAGTTTATGAATGTCTATTACAGGAGACGCAAGTTTTAGTACGGACAATTTTGAGTTTGGGAGTCTGGTCTCAACACTATGTTATATCATGATTGCATTAGGAGTCGTGCTTATGGCTGTTGCCTTCGTGGGCTGCTGTGGTGCTTGCTGCTCTCTCACCACTGTCATACTTGTGGTATAGCTTTATTTCTTCAAGTCATCAATACGAAGTGTATATTTAATGTATAACAAAAATTGCATACATCGTAAAGTAGCTAGGTTTTCTAGAAACTTTAAAAGAAATCATTGTTTCTTAAAGGTGCGTTTTAAATACATTTATGAAAAATCTATTCACATGTGGCACTAATATTATACAATGTACATTGTATATCTAGAATAGCAATTTGGTACTTGAACTAGATCGACATTTCATGTGAGAATCAGCCACATTTGTAGCATATTATAATGTTAATATTTAATTAGTAACTCAGCAGGTCATGTTTTACATTATTTTCATCTATTTCAGTACCTTATCATTGTGATTGCCTTGCTGGTAGGACAGGTTGTTATTGTTATATTGGTGTTTGGAGCACCAGACACGGTAAATTCATTTCAATTGTTCATCTAAACTCTTTTGTATATAGTAGGAGTAATTTGGATTATTCTAAAAGAACATAACATTAACTTACTGTAAAACAACAAATCCAATTGTAATTAAAGAGAAGAAATATGCATATTTTTTCGGCTTATTATAAAAAAATCATGTCCAGCAATAAAAGATAATTATGACAGCGTTTGAAGACCAATAAGATCAGATTGTTGATTACTTATACCAGAACTAAATATTGAATATAACAACAATTCTTGTAACGCTGTACGTTGTTGCACTTTATTTGATTTCCATTTTTTATGGCAACTATAAAATAAACCATTTTTATCTTATAATTAAGTATGTGTGATTTTGTTTATTTCATTTTAGTTAAAGGGACACATGAAGACGAAAATGAAGGGATAACAGAGAGAAAATTGTATATTATTATCTATACATGGATATAAAACAATGAAGCCGCTCACCTTGTTTTCTATCAGGCCGCGCGCTCCCTCGTATCACGATTAGGCTGGAACTGGGTACAGCAAGAGGTTAGAGTCTTTATATATACCAAAATGTAGTGGTCAAAACTATAAACTTAAACATATTGTTATTAATGTTAACGGTAACGATACATCAGCTGTCAATGTGAATAAAACAAAATTATAAACAGTTCTGTTTTCATATACTTCTAGATCAAATATTTCAGAACTTTATGGAAGTTAAATACTGCTTTAGTCGGTGTTTGTTGTACTAAATCCCAAGTCAAATCACATGAATGCATATCGTTATTTGGTTTTATTGTTGTTAGCTCACAAAAGCGCATATTGCCGAAAGTGAGCTATTACGATAAAAAAAACTGTTCGTCTGTCCGTCCGCTCTTCTACACTATCTTCACCGGGTCATTATTATTTAAATTTTAGAGAGATATTTCAATATTGTTTAGTTAGTCATTTCCATGATGGACTTGCCTTGTCACCTAAAGGAAAAGTTCATTATTTCTTTTTTTTTGCGTCATTCTGTCAGTTCGATTTTGATAGTACATGTACATGTATTTTCACATAAATTATCTTTAGTTAGAATGTTCAAATAGTTTCGATTCCTTTGAACGTGGTCTATTTACCATTTATAAAAATGGGGAAAACTTACAAAATACTGACAGTCACATTTTTCACACAAAAAAAACATTCATTCAGTGACAGTTTAACAAGATCGTTCAAATAGATTTTATTCGTTTATAATATGTTATATAAATTGGGTGACGGCACTTTTCTGTATAATATTATGAAGAAATCTTTGAAAATCATCCGTCAGATTTTAATATGATTTACTTGAAATGATTCTAAGGTAACCCAGTCAAACAATTTTGATTGATTCAGATTCACATTGACCTGTGTTCCCCTGTACCTTTATAAACATATTAACAACAAATGTTCTAGTAAACTCAGGTGAGCGATATATAATTATCATGACTCTCTAATTTATACTATAAATTTGTACATTAATATATTATTCTCTTTTTTCGTAGTTACGTGAAAAAGTACATTCTTCTTTGATAAAGGTATAAGATAGTAGTAGTACTAAGTCACAATACGACATGTTACATCTTTAAAAATTGAAATCAATCCAATGAATTATTGCAACATTTGAACGCATGATTATAATTATATTGAATTATGTATATATTTTTATTGTTTTTTGTTTTGTCAGTTTGAATGTTGTGGTGCCGATAGCTACGCTGACTTTGAGGAGAAAGGTAGTTCGTATAAAGATGGCATCACAAATGATAACTTCGTCATTGGTATAAGTAATGGGGATGTGTATGCCCCGGTAGCATGTTGTAAGACATTACCGTTGACTGATGCTGAACGTACAACATGTGCCGGATATGGTAGTCTTCCCAGTGAAACTAACAGTAATCTCAACAAGGTAACGAAACAAATATACCATTTATCTATAATAACTTTACTTATATTCTAAAATAAACTGAAAATCACAGTTTTAATATTTTTTTATTTATTTATTCATTTATTTAGTTGGTCAAGTAAGGAAATCACTATTTTATTCTTTATAAGGCGAAAAGTTTAGTTCCTGTGATTGACTAGTGTATTTATTTTGAGGACATTTAAATAATAATGAATAAAAAAATCATGCGAAGAAATGGAAATTTTGTAAAAATAGAAACGATTCAATGAGTACGTAATTTGAATTCTTTTTACATAAGTATGTGCCTCATGAATAAAAGAAAATCTTTGGATCAAATTCGGTGCCACTGATTTTTTTATTTACCATTGTAGGGGTGTGTAGACCAAGTATGGAAAATTGTTGTAGAGGACAATACTGTATACTTCGGGCTTGCTGTAGGGTTTTGCTTTGCCTTCCAGGTAAGGAATTGACATATTTTCAACTATTTCCGAAACATAAAAATAAGAAATATGACAAAAGGATAAACAAACCAACAAAATATTAACAGACAATTTGCAATATGTCGTATGTATTATGAAAGTGGTCGTTTTTATATTGTTGAAAAGGAAAACTATAGTTTACGGGGAAATGTATGACACGTAAAATCAGAAATGTACCATTATAGTTTGAGTGATTAAACGTTTTAGTTGTGTCTGCATACATTAGCACATATGTTGAATTTACTGCAAATTGTTGTATGAGAGCAGTCTAAACGGACATTGCTCTTTCATTGTCGCAAAAGAAGAGTTTTTTATTATAACGTATAACGCGGAAGGATATTAGGGCATTAAGAAGACCAAATTATTATTTTCTTTCAGATTGTTATCATCTTCTTCGCCATTCTAATCTACAAGAACCGAGGCATTACCGGTGGTTTGGTGTAATAACATCGTCATCGTGTGTTTTGAAACAACGAAGTGTTTATATCGTCTGTGATACATAATCTATGTCTTTCTTTCTTAATTCTCAGTTATACTTCATCATAACATACATATATAGATGTTCCCTTAATCAACTACGTTTTATTAAGACTAGTTTTCTTATTTTCTATTAAACAGCTTAAAATCAAATACTAAACAGAAAACTGTTAAATTCGGGTGAGGATTTTTCGAACTAGCTTTTAGGAACAATAACTGCACGGTTTTCTTTTGCAATAACGAATGTTTCCATATTTTTCTAGTGGCTTTTATATGATAATGCAACCAATGTTCGTACGGAACAACAGTTTTGACATAGTGACAAAAGAATTAGAATTGTAAGTGTCTGTTTATACATCCTTTGAGCGGCCACCATTTTTTTCAAGCCCCCAAACTCCAAGAATATTAGTTACTACCCAGACAGAGTAATCTCCTAAAAATATGATTAAGTGGTGTGTAGTTATGTGCAGGTCGTCATGGAAATGTATAAACAAATAAAAGAAAAAGACCCGGTATACCTCACAACATTTTGACAGGAAAGTCACGTGACCCCTGTCCAGAAACATGTATTCGTGGATGGTTTCAATTTCGTAAATACATGTACGTCTTCAAATGGATAAAGCGGTGTCAAGAAATTGTCCTTGACCTCTACGTTTTATTACACTATTGTCGTTAAAAGGATATAAGATTGTGCTTTGAGTGTACTGATTATACTATGTATTAAAGTTATCACACAATGATCTGCGCAATTAATGTCCTACAATAATAAACTTCTACATGAAACTGTATTTTTTCTTAATAAAATCATTTTGACTAATTTCTAGTCACTTTTATATGTTTATAATTTTCAACGTTGCAATTTATAATTATTCTTTTTGTGCTGGGAACATGTGAATAAATATGAATTAACCGTTTTCTGAGCAATTGGTTTTCTTGTTCTTTCTCTTGCATGGACTTCAAAATAGAGAAGACGAGGTAAATACATTTGTCTCATTCAGAGTAAAACTTATCTCGTGTAAACATTTTTTTTATCTCCAGGCACAACTTTCAAGCAGCATTCCTCCAGAGTATGCAAATTTTGAAAATATATTTAAAAGTAAAATATTGTGAAGTGAACAAAGAAAGTTATTTACACATTGCAAACGGCATTTACACGTATATAACGTAAAAGAGGTCAAAATATGCAAAAAATAGCCCTCACTGCGTTAGTCACGCTGTAGAAATATTGTGATAAATGCTGCAAAATCAGTCATCAATTGCACATAAAGTAAATTATTTCTTGAATCTTGAATCTTTTTAGTTCCCATAAAATCTTAGTGCATATTTCTACTTTGATATTCTAGAAATGCTTTTGAAATCCTTTTTTCCAATGCGAGTGTAGTATTATGCATGTTTCTCCACTGTCGATAATAAGTTGCAAATGTTTAGTAATGTGTCCATGCCGCCGAACTTCGGAAAGGATACAAGACCCATATAGTCAGCTTTATAAAGTAGCAAACATTAATATTATGCACACAAAATCTTTATTTCGAGTCTTCTAATTTTCTTGTAACATTCAGGTGAATCATTGGTAAATAAATTTAAACTAGAACTGTGTCCAAAGGACACGGATGCCCCTACTGACAACATATATATGGTATATAGTGAAAATATCAACAAAGGGCCATAATTCTGTTAAATTTGGTCGCAGCAAAAATTCCTTCCTTTACTTCCATCTACACATTAAGGTTGTTCATCCCTGGAAGTTTAAGCAAAATCTGCCATCCGGTTTAAGAGGAGTTGCGTTCACAAAATTTCTATATGGTATATAGTGAAAAAAATCAACAAAGGGCCATAATTCTGTTAAATTTGGTCGCAGCGAAAATTCCTTCCTTTACTACCATCTACACATTAAGGTTGTTCATCCATGGAAGTTTAAGCAAAATCTGCCATCCGGTTTAAGAGGAGTTGCGGACGGACAGACGTACGGACGGACGGACGGACGTTCTCACAGGACAGTAATTATGTGGCTACTCTATTGTTCTCTCTATTGTTCTTTTAGCCACGCAAAAGAAAATAGCCACATAAAAGCATTACGGAATGAATGCCATCAAAGAGAAAGAACAGTTACCTATTGTCCCTCTAGCCACATTATACTCTCCTGTGAGTGCGGACAGACGGACGGACGGACAAGTGCAACGCTATATGCTCCCACTTTGTGGGTGCATAAATACTATCATCCACATTGTTCGACGAGTTGCGTGCGGTCATATATGAGCCGCGTCACGACAAAACCAACATAATGGGTTTGCGACCAGCATGGATATAGACCAGCCTGCGCATCCGCGCAGTCTGATCAGGATCCATGCTGTTCTCTATCAGTTTCTCTACTTGTGTTAGGGTTGGTTGGCAAACACACTATGTTGGTTTTGTCGTGACGCGGCTCATATAATCTCGTTCAAGAGGTCTTCTTTTCAATTCATTTTTACAATAAAACACTGATGGTGTTAAATGTGTTTATTACGTAGACATGAGTAAAGCTGAAAAGTTGTTAACCTTGACAGCGGCTGTGTGCTCAAAAATTAAAACATTGCAGAATAACATTGTCTCTTACTAGTAAGTTGAAAATTAAAAAGATTTGGATAAAGCTGTTCTTTTTATGCTGGAATGGGAGTCAACTGATACCATAAAGATGTTTAGAAATATCCGTACGATTTATTTCCCCTTATATGTCATTGTGGGCTGGCCTGGGCTATATACTGGAGGCAAAGGCTAATTACTTTTGGTTCCAGCAGATGAAGAGTTTATTTAGTTAAACTAGTAGAATTATTTTCTATCAGTTTTATTGTTTTATCAATATGTATGTGAGATGTTTAATCAATCTTAAAATGTGTTTAATTATTAAAGAACTCACAACGATTTTTATAATCCAGCTCATCAGTAATGCTTCAACTGTTTATGGGTAAATTGATATGCGGTAATGTGTGCAAAATCAAAAATCGAACAAAAACTTGCATTCAAATGCTAGTAATAAATTTGCATGATTAGATCCCTTCATACAATATTCAATTTAACTTCCCTAGGTATATAATGTAAAAATGTAATGCTTGCATGTTTGCATCTAATGAAATGTTCAAAATCGATAAAATGCAGAATGTTCATCGATTTTATCATTTGTTCATTACTTCCGGGTTACATAATGAGCTTTTCGTCAAATTTCGGAAAATGCCTTTAGTTTAAAGATATTTATTTCAATATTTCATCATTTTTTCTTTACATTTTATATGTATACAATTATCACATATCATTGAAAGGAATAGGATCAAAAGAGAACTTATATAGTTCCTCTCCCTGAATAGGAAATAATATTTACACATACATCTATGGCAGAATAGTTTATAAGAAGAACTATATTGTTAGGTTATGTTTAAACAAAAGTAATTAAGAAGTAAATTAAAAATGAGAAAAAGAGTTACATTGGTTACATTGTTCGATTTTTTTGCATTGTAGAGGAAAAAAAATATAACTATTCGTATTTAAATTATTATCATCATTTGATTTATTTAATACCATTAAAGGCACATCATGTATCGGAAACAATTCTTTTCTCGTAAAGAAAAAGCAAATATCAAAACATTTAAATTATGTTTTATAAGCATGAGAGATGCTTTCCGCGCATGAAGAAATTAGTGTGAAAGTAACATTATTTGTCATAAAAGTAGCAAAATGTAGTAGTATTTTAACTTCCATACTAAATGCCAAAACACTTTATTTGTACTAGTTGTCAAAAGGTAACAGAAGTAAAAGTTGGCTCAGGAATTTAGCCAATGAGTAATTGTCTGAAAACTAAAGCAAGACACTGCTAATAAAAATCTTTTGAGAAATAAAAAATAAAAGCATTCTGGGGCATAATTGGCCTTTAATTGTTAAATTGTTAAAGAATTGCATAGCAACCTGATATGCCTCATGAAAAAAACCTAAACTTTTTTTGCCAAATAAATTGTTTTTTTTCCCATTCGTATCTTCGAATGGTCATCATGGTCATAAAGGGAGATATGATCCTATGTTGTAAAAATAATCTAATCACAAGAATGTGACTGGTCAGAAAATGCCACACAATGTACAATGACCATTAAAGGTTTGAGACAGAACTCCAAACCAATTTAGTGAAGCTTTTATTTACAAAGCTCATATATTGATATCATGTATTGTATTAAAACTGAATGAATCATCATACGAATATACTTGACGGTCAAAAGTTGCACCAATAATTTATTGCAGACTTTTCACAAGCATTTCATTGTGTCTTAATATTTAACTAATGTAATATCTCATTTTGATATTAGACCATCATCCATGTGTTACTTTAAACGTTAATCTTAGAAATTGTAATAGAAGACTCAAACAACTGTATTCCTTTAGAACAATTCTAAATGATAGTTTAAATGAGCCGCGTCATGACAAAACCAACGTAATGCGTTTGCGACCAGCATGGATCCAGACCAGCCTGCGCTTCCGCGCAGTCTGATCAGGATCCATGCTGTTCGCTTACAATACCTATTACAAGTAGAGAAACTGATAGCGAACAGCATGGATCCTGATCAGACTGCGCGGAGGCGCAGGCTGGTCTGGATCCATGCTGGTCGCAAACCCATTATGTTGTTTTTGTCGTGACGCGGCTCAAATGAAACAGTGAGAATAAATACAGAACATATTTTATACTATGGGACATTATTGAAAGATTAAGAAGAAATATTGCGATAAAATGTTCTACACATAAAAAACACCTTTGATTATAGAATAAGATAATAATAATGATACAAATAATACCGAAGAAAATTATATTTCAGAAAGAATATCAATCAAACAAAATCAACTAGAAAATCTTTATGAAAGGAAAATAAACTGTGAAAGAATGTTGTAAGAATAAGAAAAAATCTCAAAGTTTCTACAAAAAGAAAATAAATATCATAAAACATTATACACTAAAGTTCCCCAGAAAGAAACAGATATTTCCTTTTTGATGGCAATACAAATAAATAAATAATTAATTGTAGAACAAAAAATGTGTGAAGAAATCTTAAGTGAACATTAATGTGAAGCTGCACTTTTTGAAATAAAAATAAGAGATCATCTGGCTTTGATCGACTTTTTTTAAGATTTAGGCCTCATGCAACAAAATTAAAGCATATTTTTTTCACTGTCTTGATTGCTCCTTCTTAAAAGAAAAAGAGGCGGAGCGCAAAAACAAAGTTCCTAAGGAAGGTAAAGACCAAACTCCACTTTTAAACTGGCGATTTATTAGCCTATTGAACATTGGACACTAGATTACAGCCAAAGTTATTACTTTCGGTTAAAAAAGTATTACATGAAATTATTTTTCACCAGCAAACAGGCTTTATGAAAGCGATATATATGAGAAATTGTTAATATTTGAGATAATTGAACACTTTGAAAGAAAAGAAAACATGTCAAATCATTTGTTTTCCGATTATCAAAAGGTATTTGATTGCTCAAGCCATGATTTTATTTTTCAATGTCTTCACTATTTTATTGATGATTGACATATAAGTTCGTGTTTTTCTCTCTTTGTCTTAACCCTTAATCATCCGAGTTTCTTAAATGGATTTGCCTTGGTTTGATATGTGAATAGTTCGTTTGAAGTGTAATGGCTTTCAGTATCAAAATACAAAACGTGAACTACACACTAGAGCCGGGTCATGCTGCACGGCTGTTCACACTTGCATGGCTCTCTACTAGTGGCGAAGGGCATCAATTTTTGCTCTTGTACTTTAAGGGTTACTATCTGAAGCCTGAATCCGACCACAGGAATGTGGCAGTCTTTCGTGTACCAATATATCAAATAGATACAATTATAGGCCTAATCTCTTTGAACTGACAGTCTACGTTTGTATTCTTAAAATACTTTTCTTGCATAGCA